TTGATGGAAGCGTGCTGATTATCCACAGAGAGCGTCGCCCTTGTGACAAAAAAAAGAGACCTTGTTAATAGGAAGCTTTGGACCAATCTTTCTCATCTGCATTTTGGGGGGTTTTCAGAGCTATTGGTTCTATTGGTCAATCCGACAGTCGTGAGGTTTGGATGATGAGCGGAACCGTTGAATCAGGAGACACTGAAGAAGCACATTCAAAACCGTTAAAAGATATGCAAACACTGCCGAGCTGAAGCCCTGAGGGGGGAGTGCTGGGCTTTGAAGCCAATTGTCCCAGTGGCCAAACTGATAATTTAAAACTTCTATTGGGCTCGAGCTAAAGATAAAACATTTACAACCCCTTGGTAGGAAAAGTTTAATATTTCCTATTTTAATCATTATACCTACAATTTCTAAAGTACACTAATGGCCAAAACCAGATTTTTATTCCATTTTGGGTCATTTATTTCTCGCCCCACCGGTTCATCGTGCCTATTTTAGTGATGATAAATGTATTAACTAGTCACCAGTAATAGTCATAAAATGGTCGGCCAGTCGAGATTGTACCGAGGCTGGGAATGCCTCCGACACCCTAGGACACCACATGCCGGTAAATTGGGCGGAAATTAGTTTTCTCTTGCAAGATGAGCTCATTCTGAAACTGGGTGACCACTTCCAAAGTGAGACACACGATTTAGGAAGTTGTGTCATGTGGTACGGACAAATTTGTGGACTTTGATGATGATGAGAGGAAGGATGGATAGTAAACAGACTCATGTGATTCTCTCCACACCCACCATGGAAAAGGGTCAATTATTCAACTTACTATTACATGTGAATCTCCTACAATGTCACACATGTCATTTTTTCCCATCGCACACTTCCAGAAGGGAAATCAAATGCTAAAAAGTGATCAGCTGCATCTATCATTTTAATTTTCACAATAATTCATAGAGATCAAAATGTTTGCTACAGAGAAACGTATGTTAATACCAATAGAAATATTAGTTTCATTTTACAAATATGTATTTAAGTGTCGTATAAAAAGTAGCTTAAACACACAAAAAACTTGGACTTCCACGTGAGTCAGGTGCTGAGAAGACAGGCTTTGTGCCTACTAAGGCTAATTGCCTTTTTTATTTGAATAAACGAGTCTTCCTGTCATCTTATCTTCTGTGACTGGATAAACCGTTTCATCTATTTTACATGGGGCAGTATAATTGATTTCTGCCTGAGCTGGGGGAGAACTGGATAGTCTTCAATGGCAAGATATGCTGATGCTAAAGGAATTGTGTGCCAGTGTTTGAGCCTCTTTGTCCCACAATGTCCTTTTGTAAGAAAGTGGATCAAGGAGCCAAAAGTCTGGTGCTGAAAGTTTAAAGTTAACTTTATCATAGTCCATGTGAATTATTCCTGATCCTGGAAACGAACACTGAACCTCTGTCAGAAGGAGTGACATGAGCAGGAAGCTTGCTTTGAGGTCACGTTAAGAGAGGTTAAATGAAGAGGACGTTTCTTCTCGGAGCGCCAGCAGCTCGCGGGTTTGTAGACGAGGAAAAACCGGCCGCATCTGGTCGTGTCAGTCAAATTTCATGCTAATAGCTTCAGTGACATTTTGTGCTGTTGTTGCTTGTGAAAATTGGAAATTACAAACATGCTAGTTGCGTTTCCGTCTCAGTGCACCGTCTCATTCTTAATATCAAAAGGTTAATAGACAATATGTAAATTATCCCCGGGGTGAGGTAAAAAACTCATTTGTATTCTTCAAAGCTCTTAATGAAACAGAAATCCATCCATGTGTGATGTTTTCATTCATGCACACGTTGCTTTATTATCAGAAGCTCTACTGTAAGAATGTCCCATTGGTGCAGCCAAATAGTTATGACACAAAATCTCTATTTAGTGTGACTGCGTGTGCAGCAAATCAATGAGGGAACTGTTTTCACGCCATGCTAACGTATCACATTATATTGGAGAGAATGCCGGAGAAAAAGGAAGGTGAGATACACGCGGAAGTGAAATTGCCTTGTGATGAAACGCCATCTTCTCTGTCGCAAAAGGTCTCTCCACTTTTAACAAGGACCGAATAAGCTTCTCAAGTGCAGCACAGTCCGGCAAGAACAAGACAACCAACTCCCAGCGGCTCCTTATCGGAAAACACTTTAGCTTTCACTTTTTGACCTCGTGGGCCACTTCAGACCGAGGAAGTTTTTGAATGCGGTGTTGCTTTGTGGAATGTATTTTGTTCCTTCAAAAGAGACTTCTTATATTTCAGAAAAAGGGTTCGTACTGTTTTTCAGCTGTCATTTCCCGGTTAGCGCAGCTGAAGCCAGTGGGCACATTTCTTCCACGTCTGTTACTTGAGAGTCCTCAATAACACGCGCCTTTTGTTTTCAAGCACAATATAATGCCTAAGTTGCTGTAACCAATCTTAGACTGAAAAATATGGATTGTTTGGATTTGGTTTCCAACGATTGGTGACACAAAGGTTTAGCTGATTGGCAAAAACCCTTATTGCTCGGAGCTTTGGCCTCTATTTTCTTCCAGCAAACTAAGCTCGAAAAGCCTCCAAATAGAAAATATTGACAAAGATTCCAAACCGCAGTGGGATTGCTCAAAAAGGAGAAGTCGTCTACCTCCCGATTCGGCAGTCAGAGAGGGTTCAAACCAGGCAGCAGTGTTTGTGAAATCCTAGCCGGGCGTGTAGCATCTAATGGCTTAATGTGCGTCTTCATAAGAGGAGCTTTAAAGTCACGGAGCGGTTTGTCTGACCTGAAATCCAGTGCCGGGGCTCCGGCTCGGACTTCACCTGTCACTAACTTAAAGAAAACGCCTGCTAACCGTTGCTAACGATCCACTTATGCAGCAGCCCTGTCAGTGCGGTTGACACGTTTACTCCTGCTAGTTTATTAACAGCAATGAGATTTCAGGCTTGTGCGAACATAAAAACAAACTCAAGTGTTCAGGCTAATTAACATATATTGATTAATGAAACATGAGTGTCGGTGCCTTCTGCTACGATTTGTTGAATTATTTACTCTGGAGCTCTTTTTCCTTCCATCTGCATCGACTATTTTCATTATTTTTCTAACTAAATCACTTTAAATCACACGCCGTCTGATAACATCACTAAATTATTTTTATCTAACTTTCTTTAGAAATGCCTTTGACATTAGTGCGTCATATTTATTGCCAACTGGAGGGTTCAATGGATTAACAATAATACAGTATTTGCATGGATTCTACCAGCTTGAATTCTTTAAATCTCAACCTCCCAACAATCAAAATAATATAAATTTACTAGGCAATAAGTTTTCTGACTCTGGAGACGCATGATATTGCATTTAATAATCCAACCGCACTCGCTGGCAGTTAAAACAATTCCTTTGTTTTTTAAATGTCAGGTTTTAGGAAACACTGTTTAAGACTTTCGGTTTTAATGGTGTTTAAAGTGACGATGGTAATCTGAATTGTGAGGTTTTTCCACGACCAACGTGCAGGTAAATGCAGGACGTCGCCTTTCTCCGTCATAAGTCATTGAGGCCCCGTAATGCACACGCAGAATGAATGGAAGGATGTTTTAGAAGCATGCACACGTCCTCCACCACGCTTCCATATAACTGCTTTATTAGGTGATATATTGCTTGTCGGGCCGGAGTGAATGTTAAGTGTGATAGATTCACCAAGCCCCACTAGTGATGGACCCACTGGTGTGAACACATCCGCCAATTGGATCAGCAGCATGTTGAGACTATTTTACTTAATTATTAGGATTTGCCCGCTATTTAGTCAGCAGGGAAATCCCATTTTATGATTTAGAGAAAGATATTATTAGAAATAAAAGTGAGTTGGACGAGGAGCTAATGGAAAGCTACGTGAGCCTTCAAACTAACCCACTTCGTCTCCTGTGAAGCACGGAAAGAATACGCGTGACTGAGGGCTGTGATTTAAAACACACACACACACACACACACACACACACACACACACACACACACACACACACACACACACACACACACACACACACACACACGCATTCACGGTAACAACAGTGTGCACGTCTCCTCCGCAGATGAGCAGAGGTGTGTGTAATGTTTGTCTGTATAAAAATGCAGAGAATTACTCCACCTTTGACTCCAATAACCAATTTTGGCTCCATATCATCTCGTTATCGCCACGTATTAATGAAAGCAGAAGGTGGATTCACAGCTCTGCCAATGGTGAGAATTACAGTTGTTTTTCTATGACAATTTTTCACAACGTTTCGTCTGTCAGGTTAACGTGTCTAAAATGCACGTGCGTGGGTTTTCTAGAGGGCGATTCTGGAAGATCTCTTCTTCTATGGCCAAGATTTGAAAGTCACACCGCAATGTGCAAAACTGTATGTCACAAAAAAAAAAAAGGTACAAGAAAACCATACTGGCTCTTAGTTATACTTATAAAAGTAGGTATGAAACTAATACCTAATTGTTATTCACCCTCAATCGCCTTACCTCCTCGCGTTGCCTATTAGGTGGCTTGCTGACTCTTTTTTTTTTCCTGTCAAAGGCCAAATGTTAACACCGAGGTACGGTAATTTACCAAAAGCAAATGGGCCCTTGTGCCTCCATTTTTAAGGAGACGAATGCATTGAGCCTTCTTCAACCACAAAGGGTGAAACAATAAAGCTGTTAACAAAGGGTACATCCAGCAGCAGAATGTTTTATAGGTTCATTATCAATGTGTTCAGCCTCACTAGCTGTCACATCAGCAATGCCCTTCACTCGACAGCAGACCTGCAGCAAACCAGTAATGCAAAACATTTAGCTATTAGAAGAAGTTGTATAATGAAGGTATTTGCTCGCACAATGCAATCATCCCATGTCAACAAAAGGGATAACGTGCATTGTTTTGCACAATGAGGTGAAGCGCTAGCTCGGAGTGACTATTTGTGAAAGGTCTGCATTTCATTAGGCTACATTTCCCCAAATCATAACACACCTGCAGCCAGCCGGGCTGTCGCAGTGAAATGTGGGACATTGAGTGTTTATTGTTAATCCAACGAAGATATGGAAGTGCAATGGTGGATCAGTAGAGTACTCATTTAATGCAACGTTTGAATCTACAAAGTCTTTGTCAGATAAACACCCACGTGAACAATAAGAATCAAATAAAAAGCTTGAGACCGGCAGCTACACCTTCAATTAAGACATTGACGGATACAAGACATCATCCAATAAGCCAAAACAATTCACCATGCACAGATAAAACTTGCAAAGTCCCAAAGAAATGACAAAAAGAGCATTCATCGATCTTTCATAAACAGTATAAACTTTAAATAGATGCTTTATTCTACAGTTGTAAGCATATGTTAAGGTTTATTAATGCATTTGTCAAAAACAAAGCTGCACCCGTGGGCCCTGATAGGTAGAGCAGCGTGTAAGCTTACAGTTTTAAAACAGACAACCAATGGAGCCACTGACTAACTTGATCTCTGACCTCAACATGGTGCCCATTTTTCCTTTTTTCCCCTTCTTTTGAATGGGAATAACATGCACAACTAATTTGTCCTATTTGGTTTGCTTACAGATCAGGAATCAAACCCGAGCCGTGAAACGTGTCCCTCTTTTGTTCTTGGGCCCTTTTGGATTCACTTTTGTCGGTTGGCTGTAAATTGAAGATTTTTCTCATTGTTATCTAGTGTCATTGAAGGGAAGCTGTTTCTTGTGAGCCTCGACAAATACTTTTCCCAATAATAAACCGTTCTTTACGCAGTTAATTAAACATAGGATTAATCATTCTTTTTTAGGATCTCCTGTTTACATACTTATATACTTGGATGATCTTCAAGTAGTTTTAACTTGTGACTCTGAATCCAAAAGGGCTTGCAAACACTTGTTGTCCAATACTCCCGATAATATACTTGAATTTTAAATATCAGATTTACTTTTGTCATGTCTCTTGACATGTTATCAACTGCTGCAGAGAATCCAATCAACGCTTCGAACACCCAGACATGGAAAGCGTACGTGTTTGCACGTGTGTTGGCCTCTTCTGTGAAGTGCACCCGAAGAGCGCGGCCTCTCGTGACTTATCGTTCACCAGGCAAACTGCGTCCTCCTCTTGGAAGGAAGCAGAGACACTGAGAGGGCCGGAAGATGGTGGCGAGCGCAAACCTTGAGAAGCTCAGGCAGAAGCGACCCTGACATTAGAGAGCAACGTCAAGAGTAACACGTGTGAATTGACGCGGATTCATCAAAATGAATGTGCACTGCTTAATGCTCCGTCACGTTCTGCCGGGGCCTCGAGAGGTTGCTGGAATTCATTTGGACATCATGGTGATGGGAGCATTGATCTGCAGTCTCATTTCATTTCATGGTAATACCACAAGTGCACTCAACAAATATCATGTGTCAGTAATGATAGAAATATTCTCACTGAGGATTTTCAATAAGTTTTGAACTAGATTTAATCTCCCACTTCTAGAACAAAATAAATACTTTAAGCCTTTATTGCACAGCTTATCTGAATGTTAAATTCATTGAGCAAAACATACTTTGATTTCATTTAACGCGGACAAACCCTCAATTGTTTTTGGAGCTCTGCGGTATCTATAGAGCGAGGAAACTGTTTCCCACATGAACATGACACGCTGTAGATACAGACTGAATGTAGCAGCAAACAGACGCACATACAGTAAACCACGGTGATGTTTGTTCAGCAAAATTGAAGTTATGATCAGCTTTCAGCACTGCTGTGTAAATATCTGCTGCAGTTTCTTTGTTTGACACTGATACGATTCCTTTCTCTTTTTTTTCAACTGTGCCTTACAACAAAAGGTGATTCAGTCAGAGTGGCAGCTAGCAGCATAATAAAAATGTATCCTACTGGTATAATTTATCATAATACACGGATATATTTATGAGATTTTTCAAAAGGAATCTACCGTATTTTAACACGTAACGAGAAAAAAGTTGCGGTTTTCAAAAAATATATTCTGCATATGATGTTTATGATCTGAGCTGTTACTCGCATTAAGTCTTTGTGTGGAATATGTACACGTAAATACCATCCACAAAGAAATCCTACAACCTATCACATTGCTTACAAATAGGATTTTTTTATGGCACATGTTAATGATTTTATAAAGGGGCATAAAGTTGGATTTCTTCTCCATCTTTCAAAATAAAATCTTGTTCTAATGAAACCTTTTTTGTGTCTCACTTGGTTTGAGTTTTAAATCCACGGGAATAAAGGTTAATGTATTCTTTAACGGTTGTGATTTTAAATCTTAACCAATGACTAAACTTTGATTTATTTTGTAACTTTTTCTTGCACATCTTATTTGTCCACGAGTCCCAAACAACTATAGCGTGTGTTGCACTCTTACTATTTTATACTCTCGTACTTTTTCAGAAATCCATATCCAAAAACACACATGAGCAACATTTACGACCGGCAGCATCTGAAGCGCACAAGTTTATGGAAAGCTTTCTTGAAGTCCTCATTGGACATTGTGTATATGATCGGGTTTATGAGCGAGTTCAGATACCCCAACCAGGTGAAAAAGTCAAACAGTTCGGGATTAAAACACGTGTCACAGGTGGCCACCACCAATGTGTAAATGAAAAACGGCAGCCAGCAAACGATGTAAGCACCGAGGATTATGCCCAACGTCTTGGTCGCCTTCCTCTCTCTGGCTGCCGAGATGCGCTTTTTGTCCAACAGCGCGTCGGACACGGTCACTTTCACGTGGTTCTCGCTGGTCGAAGACCCCGTGTCGCTGGACGGCGTGTCGTGTCTCGCGCACTGCAGGGAGGTCGTGGACGCCACGGACCCGGGCGAGTTGGTGACCAGGTGCGCCGAGGTGAGCCTCTTCCCCCCCAACTTCTTGGGCGACTGCTTCAGGATCCGCTTCCGGGCCTCGACGTAAATCCGTCCGTAGAGCACGATGAGCAGCAGCGTGGGGATGTAGAAAGCCCCGAAGGTGGAGTAGATGGTGTAGAAAATGTGATCCGTGTTGACGTTGCAGCTCGTCAGCTCGTCCGCCTTCACCTGCCGCCAGAAGAGCGGCGGCAGGGAGATGGAGATGGCGATGACCCAGGCCGTGGCCACCATCGCCGCTGCGCGCCCCGGCGTGCGCTTTTTGGAGTACTCCACCGCGTCCGTGATGGCCCAGTACCTGTCCAGCGCGATTACGCACAGGTGCAGGATGGACGCCGTGCAGCACGTTATGTCTGAGGAGAGCCAGATGTCGCACACAATTTGCCCCAGCGTCCAGGTGTGGATGACCGTGTAGAGGACGCAGATGGGCATCACCAGAATGGACACCAGCAGGTCGGTGACGGCCAGAGAGGCGATCAGAAAGTTCGCAGGGGTTTGCAGTTTCTTCGACTGGGAGATTGTCGCGATGACGAACGCGTTAGATGAAGTGGTGGCGAGTGTGAAGACGGAGAGAATCACCGCCAGGCTGAGCTGAGCGGCGAGACTCTCCGCGCTCACGGGCACAAGCGAAGAGGCCGCGGTGCCGTTCGTGGCGTTCACCGGCGGAGTCGGCTCGACTTGACCGGAGCGCTCCATCACTTTTATGTCATACTTTGAGGTTTCCTTCCGCGATGTCTTGACTTTTAGGGCGTCCTTTCTCCCAACGGACGTCTCCTTGAGCGTGCCATCCGACCCAGTTAGGTGGCGTATTCAGTCTGATTCCTAACAGTGATTCCTCTCAATCTCATGTTTCCTTCTACTTCAGGTTTGAATGCGCAGGTGGCAAATTGTGGAGGCGAATATCCATCCCTCGCCATTCAAACTTTTCCTTGTTGTAGCCATAAAAAGAAAACTTCTCAGACGTTGTAAAACAAAACGCGAGACGAAAAGGGGGATGCGCAGAGCGTTCTGATGTCCCAACATCTGGGGAGGGGGGGGGATGTCACAGATAATCCGCGTGTAGGGCAGATGTTTTCCAGAGCGCTTTTCCCCCAGACCCCCTGTGGTTGAATGGTGAGCCAACCCAAAGTCTCACTTTTATACACACTGTGACATCAACGAGCAGCACTCACCATCACAGCCTGGTCTCTCTCTCTCTCTCTCTCTCTCTCTCTCTCTCTCTAACAGGAGGCTATCTGCTGGGTCATAGTGCCCAGTGACTCTCATCTGTCACTGTGCATGCCCCCAAAATAATGGCTTTTCTGTCACGGGATGCAAAATGAGCCTGAAGGGGTCATAACGCTGTACAAAGGGTTCTGTTGACGATACTTCACTGACTCAATGTGAGGGAGAACTACCAATGAGTCAATAACATTAAAGTCATCAATAAAGCATCACGACTACTGTACGAAGAAGAAAACACTGCTTGTCGTACACAACGTTGCTAATGTGCTAAGTAAAAAGGGGGCTTTCTGTCAGAGACCTCCAAGCAAAGAACAGGTAGCACCTCAATATAGCAACATAAAAAGTTTAAGGAACAGCACTTGAATGGACCCGATGCAGAACACTTGGGTCGATCAGGAAGTGGGATGAAGGGGATTCCATCCTGCTTGAAGGTTCTACTATAGAGAAGGTTAACAAACAATTAGCTGCCAACAAGAGGCCTATCACACAGGAGGAAAACGTTGGCCAAACACAATCATTCTGATGTATTTGTTCACTGAACAGAACATGCTTTAAAGCCTTCTACACAATCTGTTGGGAGAATGCTGAAATACAGTAAGATGCTCTGCATGCCGCTGTTCTCGGCGGTCACATTAACCTTTGTCGTGAACTTCAGACAGAGAAAAAAAACTGGCAAGCGCATTTCATGTTTCAAAGAGTTCAGCATCATTCGGGGTTTAATGTAGCGTGAAGGTATCTGGCCGAGGTGCAAATTAACGATGCATTCGTGTGAACTGGTCGCATTTTTAACGAAGAACCTATGACACGAAAAGGTGACGGGCAATCAAAGTCTCTAAACAGCGTGTGCTGCTGGGCCCATCTAGTTAATGTCACCCTGGGATAACAGTATTAAAGGCTCGTCCCCTGAATACAGATGTATGTCTGTGGCACAAGGCGTCTGTGTGAATTATTGGCAGTTTGTACTGCAAAGCACATTACACTCAAAATACTAAAATAATCCATAAATCAAATATAAATACCTTTGGAAGGCACATGAGCAATTTCTCACCCAGATAATTACTTTTCAGCGGAGACGGATGCCATCAACTTTGTATTTTAAACTGAATATATTGTATAATTTGTTCAACACAAAACGTTATTTAAGTCAGTGACAAAACACACACATTTCTCTGTGTCTGAGCTCGGCAGCTCGTGGTGGCGAGGCGGTACTCGGGGACACTGACCCTCCCGCTCGGGTTCACGGTCGCACCCCTTGACTGGCGATGACTCGTGCTCCACTAATGCATTGGTACACCGACAACATTACCACCATTTACACAAAAACACATGCGCCATCCCGCCATTCGAGATGGGGGTTCCTGTGTGAAATGGTTGCCGGGAGAGTGACCCGGTTCCGTGGCAGCGGCAGTGGCAGCGGCAGTGGCAGCGGCAGCGTGGGGGCCATTTCTGTGACTTTCTGTTATCTACACTCATCACACAACACATTGCAGCACAGCGGCCGGCTACATCCAATCTCACACTGGCCCTGAAGGTCCTATTTTTAGTCGGATAATAAGGTATCCAGCAAGCTTTAAAGGCAATGCATTACACCACCTACAAGCACAGGACCATGTGGTTTAGCAAAACCATTTTTTTCCCATAGGTGATGTTGCATGAATAATGAAACAAATGGGTACTCACAGCATTTCAAGTAGGAGCATGCGAACACATCCAAACTGAAGAGGTCAAGTGCTCAGCTGAAATAAACACATCATTAGGCCTGTGGTGTCAAAATAATGTTTGTTTATGTCATAAACTGAGTTCCCCAGATAAAAGTTGACATGAATTACACATGATAATCAGACCTTTAATAAGCTCAAGCTGATTCAAAATTACAACTAACAACTAAAGCTTAGATGCCTCTTTAAACTGGATATCTGCCTCTTTGTGTTGGGTAGTTTACATGTAAACTGTGATGTAAATATATATGAGACGGGCGGTTAATATAGTTGGCATTCAATACAATCTGTAGATCTGCATTGTGGGATGTCTGAGATCAGCATGGTGCCTTGTATCCCGGTTTGGGTTGAAAGATGCTAAAACTCAACGAGATGAGAGAGACTGCTGTTATGATCCGGCTCCAAGGCCACAACAAATACGAGAAACCACGCTACAGGGATTTGTCAGCCAACAGTTTTATTTCTCCAATTTAACCCATTCGACCACCGAAACCACCATTGCGCTGGGGAACCGGAGAAAGCCAGAAGTCGCCCAAACACTCCGAAAGGGGCAGGTTTTAATGCACTCAGGACAGTGGCCAGCTGCGTCGGATCTGCCTGATGGCCTCCACTCCACCAGGAAGTTCACCCTGTAACACACACACCCACACAGACAGAGACACACCCACATATACCCTGGCAGTGGCCCTGGGGCCGTCACACCCCCGCCCATAAAGACAGGGTCCCCACCGGAACCCTGACCAACAGCCACTATAACGTTATAACATTTACTCTTTTTTTTGATTGTCACGGCCTTAAATTATTCCTTAAAATTGTATTTACACCAAACTGTCTCTAGACCCAATACAAAGTCCCCCGAACAGTACTTGCTCCTTTCGCCTTCATCCTGTAGCCTCACACTCATCTCTGCAACTGGTACCTGGAAGCGATTTAAGAGTGAGAGAGACACCACAATGAAGAACTAGAGAACAATCACTGACATGGGGCTCTGGACAAAGCATCTGCAACAATGTTATCTCTGCCCTTCACATGATGTATATCCAAGTTGTATGACTGGAGAAATATTAGACCAAACTGTGTTACCAACACACACCGGATGAGCATCATCTGCCTGTGCACTCAATTCCTGGGATACCCGGGTATGATATGCCCTTCAACAGGTTGACATGACAAAGTTGGTGGTTTTTACGACGTTCTGGAGTGGCAATCAGGTAGTTTAGCTCTGACAACTTCTTCACTACCGTGTAAGGTCCCAAAAACTTTGCTTGCAATGGTGAGTTGACAATTGGTAATAAAGCCAAAACCTGATCGCCCTCACAAAAACTACGCCGCTCCGCTCTTCGGTCATAAAGACGTTTCATCTTCTCCTGTGCCGAAGTCAGCTTTTCCCTGGCTAACTCTGTAGCAGAGTAAAGGCGCTGCCTGAACCCATTGACATACTCTAGCAAATTTTGAGGTGGCTGAGATTCCTTCCACTCGTTTTGCAGAGCAGCTAACGGCCCCCGCACCGTATGACCGAACACCAACTCGTTTGGACTGAAACCCGTACTCTCTTGTGCTACCTCTCTTGCTGCCAGCAACAACCATGGTAACCCGTCCTCCCAATCAGCATTCATCTGCACACAGTATGCCCTCATCATTGATTTCAAAGTTTGATGGAAACGTTCCAGCGCTCCTTGGCTTTGCGCATGGTACGCAGACGACTGGTTGTGCTGCACATGCAACAGCTTCAATACCTGTGCAAACAAGTGAGAGGAGAAATTCGACCCTTGATCACTCTGAATGGTTCTAGGTATGCCAAAGATGGATATGAACTGACCCAGAGCACGCACCACTGATTTTGCTGTTAGCGTGCGCAACGGATATGCTGCTGGGTATCTGGTGCTACTGCACATAACAGTTAACAAATACATCGCACCCGACCTTGAACGAGGAAGAGGGCCTACACAATCAATAATCAGGTGCTCAAATGGCTGGTCTACAACAGGAATCGGATACAGGGGAGCAACTTTCACTTTCTGATTTGGCTTACCAGTTAATTGACAAGTGTGGCATGTTTTGATGTAGTTTGCAACACTTTTCTTCATCCGCGGCCAAAAAAAATGTCTAAGGACCCGATCATACGTCTTACCAACCCCCATGTGCCCCGACTCATCATGAGCAACACGCAAGACCAAATCACGAAATTTGGAGGGAACGACAATCTGATACACAGGATCTCCCACAAAGCTCTCACAATGTGGCACCCACTTCCGAACAAGTACCTCATTTTGTACGAAGTAACCATGTGCCCGATCTTTCACCTCATCGACCCGCAGAACAGACTGAAAAAGCTCCTTTAGCGTACCATCGGCTCTTTGCTCACGCGCCAATTCACTATGGGAGACAGTGTTAGGGATTTAAGCCAGAAGTGCACCCCTAGTCATAGAATTGTAGTACGTGTAATGATGTTTAGTGATAGAATTATAGTTTGTGTGTTGTTAGATATTAGTTATTACATTAACATGTTAGATGAAGTGAATGCAATGTGAATCAAACACAATTCATAGTCATTTAAATCATATAAACACTGTACACATTAACATTCTGTCACAATGTGATGTTAAAACCTGGGGACGGATGCCAATTGCCGTTCTTTATGGATTTCTCCCAATTTTATCCCCAAAAAGGGGTTTTTGGGAGTTTTTTCTCCTGTCAGGTAATAAAATGAACAACTTATTGCGAGGCAGCCGACTGAGGCAAATGTCTTGAGAATTGAACCACATGAACTGTTTTAGATCTTATGATGAAGTGTGATGAACGGTGATCATTAATGATGGGTTGTTGTAATGAAAGTGTACTAGTTATAAGATGAAGACTTAAACGATGTATGCTTTGTTAAATTCACTCATTGAGGCATAAAGCCGAATGTATCTACATTGAGTGCATTGGAGTGTGAGGGACAGCTAAGACAGAGAGGTTTCAGGTTACAGCTGCAGCTTCACACCTCGACGTGGAAGGGACAATGGAGGAGGTGACCCTTTGGAGAAGAGGCCAATGACATTCAAATGCACCAAAGAAGACACACCTCAAGAGGTTTCAAAGGACCATGGCGGGGGAAAGACTGTTAGAACTTCTCCTGCAGCCGCGTTGATAAGTCACTTCAGACTTGCTCAGAGGATTCTCTATTTCGCGAAATATTCCACTGTTCGCTTAGTATTTCACTTTGTAATTGTAATCCCTATTACGTTGTTCAGTTATTAAATAACTTTTGATTTTTGAATTTAAACGAATTGACTCATTCGTGTCCTCGTTTCCGGCCGGGACGAGAACAAAGGATTGAGTCCTCCCTCGAGAGCTTCCGAAACCTTAACAGTTGGCG